AAGGTGAATTTCCAATTCGACCCTAAAGGCCTATTCTGCCGTACTATTGGGAACGGCTAAACTGCAATACGCCATCTGGTGAGAGACCGATCTCTCCCTCCATTTTGTTTCTTTATCTCTCTTTAATTAACAGGTTAGAAAGAGTAGAAAAAACAAAATGGAGGGAGAGATCGGTCTAAAGTCACTAGATTGTTACTAGACCACCGTTCCCAATAAAAAACTTAGGGTGCGATCCCATGTTTGTAGAATACGTTGATCGAAAGCAGAAAATCATGAGAGTGAAAAGAACAACAATATCTACCTATCTCTTTTGCACTCATGATTTTCTGTTTTTGGTCGACGTATTCTGCTCACATGGGTTTTTGATATTAATGTATTCGTTGAAAAAAGCTGTATCTGGCAGATATAGTTTAAATTATTTTAAAAAAATAATTTGTTGTAAAAGAAATTGTTATTAAAATCTTAGAAACTTCAGAAAATGAAAGAATAATTGACAAAAACTTAAGAAAAATACTTTACGTAGTCTGAATGTTCTAATGCAAACAGTTTTTCTTCATTTTCTCAGTTTGATCGAAATGGCGCTTGCCTAAATTCTTCCTTAGTACGGTATTATTTTAATAGGATCTAGAAAGTATACGGCTAGGCACAACTGCTTCGCGAACGTAAAGCATGAGTTAGAAAAGGACGGAGATATATTTGTGTCCTTTTCTATCTCATGTATCTCATTTGCGAACGACTTTCGCAACTTTCGCTTCGGTAAAAATTGTCCAGAACGGAAAATTTACATAGGAGTAAAAAAGAAAGATACACAGTCTGTCTCTCTTACTCCAATATAGATTTTCCATTTTAGACCATTTTTATAAAAAAGGTGTAAATGCTCCATTAAGGTACGGGAGACCGTACCTTAAGGGAGCGTTCAGACCACCGCATGCAAAACTTTTGCATGCAGGTTGCCATAGTAGCATTCAAGAGTGAGAGAGATAGAATAATTTCCCAGTGGGCACACTTGTTCAAAAGACGTCCTAAGGATGTCTTTTTGCGGACGTCTTTTGGACTTGTACAAAAAGACGTCTTTAAGACGTCTTAAAGACGTCCTATTCATGTTCTATGTCTTGGCCATTAGATGTCTTTAAAGTGTCTAAAAGACGTCTTTTTCATTCAACATTTGAAAATAGAAAAATTTTTATAAATAGAAAATATTATTTTTGTCCTACCTGCACGGAAAGTATGTCATTTCGGGCACTTAAGGCGGGCGCAAAGTAACACATTACGCCCGGGAGTGGGGGAAGCGGGCGGAAAAGTATTTTGCGCCCGCTTGTATGACGTCAGCGGGCGGTAAAGTATTTTCCGCCCGCTTCCCCTACCACCGAGCGGGCGGAAAAGTATTTTGCGCCCGCTTGTTAATTATTCGATTTTCTTCATTAAAATGCGACATTTTCGACTTTCTTTTTAAGTTGACTATAGAACTGCAAATATTTTGAACTTGTTTTATTTTACCTTTAAAAATTTGCAAGTTTTTTTTATTTTCTCTAAAAAAACTTATGAGACATTTGGTTTTGTTCCCATTTCGTTTATCAAAATTGTCAATTTTAAAAGTTCTTGTTTCAGTTTTGTTTAATTATTAATTACTACGTTCTAAATAAATACTATGTTTCCAGAATACATTATTTTTTTATTTCTATTTTAAAACTTCTATCATTATAAGACTTCATTCGATATAATGTTTATATAGAGCTTAATTTTTAACTAATATGAGTGTTTAATCGTGCGTGCCCTCAATGCCATACTTTCCATGCAGTTAGGACAAAAAATTATGTTCGCATCATGGGCGCAAAGGTGATTACGACTTTGGCGAAATTTCGGGACCTCGAGGACACTTTCGCTCCCTCGGCTTCGCCTCGGGCGCGAAATTGTGTCCCCTCGGTCCCTTCATTTCGCCATCGTCGCAATCACCTATTTTGCGCCCTTGTTACGAAAATAACTATTACTAAGTTCAACTTGGACTTAGAAATTTATGAATGTGAAATTCATTGGAATTTTTCTAAGTGAAATTCATTTCATTGACAAGTGAGATCGTTAACTTTGTAGAGGTTCATATCTGTCTTGAACGGCTGAGGTGCTTAAGGCGCAGTGTTTCAAGCCCAAGGTATCCGAGTTCGATCCCAGCTTCGTAGGAATTTTTTCATTATTTCTCCACATTTTAGAAAAAATAAAATTAAACTTAAAATAAATTTAATACAATGTTACTGAATTTCAACTTAGAAAATGTTATAAAAGAAATGTTTATTTAAGATCTGAAGGAATGTAAAAAGGACGTCCAAAAGACGTCTTTTAGACGTCCCTTTTATGTCTTTTAGACGTCCAAAAGACGTCTTTTAGACGTCCTTTCTTATGTCTTTTGGACTCCTTTTGACCAGACATAGAAAGTCTTTTAGACGTCTTTTAGTTGTCTTTTTGATGACTCAGAGACATTGCCCTCATTGTCCCCGAATCGTCCGCGGACAAAAAGGGACGTCTTTAAGACGTCCCTGTGCCCACTGGGTTCCTATCTCTCTGACTCTTGAACGCTACCATGGCCATTAGCTTTACTAATGGGTGTTTTCGACGTCGTCGGTCGTACCGGTCAGTTGCCACAAAAAAGTGCTTATTTGAGACTATTTAGGTTAAACTAAATAGTCTGAAATAAACAGTTTGAGAACCTTTATGTGGCAACTGACCGGTACGACCGACGACGTCGAAAACACCCAAAGTCTTGAGGCAGATGGTTTACTTGTGAACTATGCTTTATGTACATTATATTAAAAACTGTCGCCATTATAGATAAACAAAGTGATTTCTTAGTGCAATTTATATGTTATTGATCACCAGTTGACATTTTATATAAATTGAATAGAAAGAAGTTTAGCGGTATGTAAGTATTAATGTATTAAAATAATTTTTATGTAAAAAAATGTTGAAACTCAGTTGTTCTCAAATGCTTTAAAACGTGGTAATGAATTTACAAAAATGATGAGAAAAACATGCAATTGAGTACCACTGAGTAATTCGGATCTTGATCCAAGAGCACGCCGTAAACACGGTAAATGATAGAAGAAACGAAGATGAAAGTGAAGAAATAAAATTATTTTTTTTGTTATTCAAGATTTTAATGTTATATCGAACTCTGCGCTTAACAGAAACTATCTAAGTATGAAGCATGAGTTTATAAAAATTGAGACAAACTTTGAAATTTACATTTTTTATTATTATTGAATATAATGCATACATTATATGTAAAATAAAATAAATGTTACAGAAAATGTCCAACTTTGACTGCAGAGGTGTAAAGCGAGGAAGATGTTCGTGCGGAGATTGTGATGAGTTTTTAGGAACTGAAAAAGTAGAATGTGCTTATTGCAATTGTGTTCCTGCAAAACATGATAAATTGGGTAATTTTTGTTAACCATATTTAATGGGGTATTTCAACATTATTGGTAGAAAAAATTTATTCTTAATCTGTAAACGGCAATTTCATATTCAAGGAAGAATCTGACAGACAGTCTAAACAAAAAAAGGACTAATTTAATTTTAAATTTATTTTCGTGGAAGGGTTAGTATTTATGTTTTCAACATTTTAAACAATTAAAAGTTGCGTTTAAATAAAAATTGCAATTCTTTATCAATAAGCAATAAGTGTTCACTTTTAGGTTATGCTACCTTAATCTTTTCTGATTGACAGAAAATTATAATTTCTATTCAAATGTAACTTCAAATTGGTTAAAATATTAAGAAATAAATTATTTACGCTTTCACAAATACAATTTAAAAATTGAAGTGTTTTTACCCAGTGGGCACAGGGACGTCTAAAAGACGTCTTAAAGACGTCCCTTTTTGTCCGCGGACGATTCGGGGACAATGAGGGCAATGTCTCTGAGTCATCAAAAAGACAACTAAAAGACGTCTAAAAGACTTTCTATGTCTGGTCAAAAGGAGTCCAAAAGACATAAGAAAGGACGTCTAAAAGACGTCTTTTGGACGTCTAAAAGACATAAAAGGGACGTCTAAAAGACGTCTTTTGGACGTCCTTTTTACATTCCTTCAGATCTTAAATAAACATTTCTTTTATAACATTTTCTAAGTTGAAATTCAGTAACATTGTATTAAATTTATTTTAAGTTTAATTTTATTTTTTCTAAAATGTGGAGAAATAATGAAAAAATTCCTACGAAGCTGGGATCGAACTCGGATACCTTGGGCTTGAAACACTGCGCCTTAAGCACCTCAGCCGTTCAAGACAGATATGAACCTCTACAAAGTTAACGATCTCACTTGTCAATGAAATGAATTTCACTTAGAAAAATTCCAATGAATTTCACATTCATAAATTTCTAAGTCCAAGTTGAACTTAGTAAATAATATTTTCTATTTATAAAAATTTTTCTATTTTCAAATGTTGAATGAAAAAGACGTCTTTTAGACACTTTAAAGACATCTAATGGCCAAGACATAGAACATGAATAGGACGTCTTTAAGACGTCTTAAAGACGTCTTTTTGTACAAGTCCAAAAGACGTCCGCAAAAAGACATCCTTAGGACGTCTTTTGAACAAGTGTGCCCACTGGGTATCTTATAAAACCGAAATTATGACGTTGGACGAACTTTTGTTCTGATTGTTTATCTGATTGATCGTCAATAATATTTGTAGTTTTTAATTTGTGAAAACGTTTCTTGCACTAACATAGTTTATTACGATCCATTGATTTTACTCTTTTACTAGATTATGTTAATACATTGTAAATATTATAAAATTGCTTATTACATTTTTTAATATCAAATATTTTGTCAATACTAATAAATTAGAAATACTCATTATTATTTTAAATTTGACATAAACTTTAATTATTGGTACGATTTCAATTTTTAATACTACTATACTTTAATATAGATACAGATAATGAGATTATGACTGCTAGAAACTCGAATAGTGTCACGGAAGAAAGGGAGCCCCCCATGAATGTAGAATATGTTCCAGAAGAAAGTGAAGAACTAGAAGAAAATTTTGAGGAGACTGACTCAAATGTTGAAATAAACTATGATGGTAACGTAAAAACAGTACAAAGTAAAATAACACATATTATTTAATGGATTTCCATATCTGAAAATTTTATTGATAAATTTTTTTAATATGTGGTTAAATTTAATGAAAAGTTCAATTTCTGTAACAATTCCAGAGTGTCTTCTAACCGGGAATTTAATTTGACTGGGAATATGCCAGGATTTTATGCCAAACTGGAAATTTTTTCACCAAATTAAAAAAAATGTTATTGTTTTAATTTGTTTTTAAAAAAACGCTTTTTATTTCAAATTTTTATATATATTTATACTGTTCTCTAAATTTGAATTAGTTAAAAAAAATTAATTTGATAGTAGAAAATCAGTCACTGATTAAAATATAGTATGTAAATAAATTTTTAAAAAAATTATTGAATTAATAGAAATTTTGTGAAATTCAACGAGAAATAATTAAATTTGTTAAATAATTTCATGAAAAACTTTTTAACATATCGAATTGACAAAGTATTTTAATTTAATAATTGATAAATTGATTATTAATAAATTTTTTAATAAAATTGCATTATCGCAAAAGTTTTTTAAAAATTCTGAAAAAAATTTTTTTGAAATTTTTCAATTCTGTTGTTTCAAGATAATTTAATTTTTAGGAACAAATAACTGAAAATTTTTGAAATAATTGAAATTTCTTTACATTCTATTAAAAATAATTAAATTCTTTTAAAGAATTTTATTTACATTTTTCAAAAATAATTAGGGGAAGTTAGTCACAGTAATTGTAATTTTATTTTTAAAAATTTCTTCGTTATATATTCAATTATTTTCATAAATAGTAAAACTCATGACAGAATTTCAATTATTTTTAATTCAATTTTAAAATCAAATTTTTGGAAAAATGTAATTATTTTTAAAAAATTTATTAAAATTCGTCGAAAGAATTCAATTATTTCCATAAATAGCAAAACTCTTCAGATTTACTAAATTCTTTTGAATATTATTTTTAAAAAAAATTCTTCAAAAAAATTCAATTATTTTCATAAATTTACATAAAATTCTAAAAAACAATTTGATTATTTTCAAAAGTAATAAAATTTTTTGCAGAAATTCAATTATGTTAAAAATTTTTTTAAATTCTCCTCAAAATTTCAATTATCTTTGTAAATAATTAAATTGTTCTCCACAATTCAATTATTTTCAAAAATTTTTAAATAATTCTACCCAAACAATTAATTATTTTCATAAATAATAACATTCTTTGGAAGGATTCAATTACTTTGATAAATTGTAAAATTCTTTGCAGAAATTTAATTATTTTCTAAATTTTTAATTAAAATTAAACAAAAACATTGTTTTCAAAAAATTTAAAGAAACTCGTTAAAAGAATTTAATTATTCATAAAAATTCTAATAAACATTTTGAAAGCCATTTGTAGATTTATTTATGTTCGAAATTAAATAAATTTAAATTTGATGAGAAAAAAACTGGAAAATTTGGACAAAGCCGGGAAAAAACGGGAATTTCGTTGAACGAAAATAGTAGACACCGAGAATTCTGAAATTTTATTTATTTTATATGTTTCAGAAAATAATACTATGGACATGATCTCCAATCTTCCGCAAGAGTATAAGACTGAGTGGGTAAGATAATGATCTATGATTTAATTGGTTTTCTGCATTTATTTAATAAAATTTCGGTAAATTTATTACTTTGTTCAAAATATAGGTTTAATTAGAAGATATTATCCCTCGTAATTTTAACGAAGAATTTCATATTGATATAATGAGCGAACTTTTTAAGGACTCCGAGCTCGAAAAAATTCATTTTTGCAAAATTGTTCGCATAATTTCGGAGAAGTTAATCGAGGCGAAAAAAACAAATCAAATCTACGTATTAATGACCGCTTTTATAGCAACTCAAAGGTTTCCTGCTCTAAGAGGAAAAAATACAGAAGCAATCCATGTGAGTTAAAAAAGATTATTATATTTATATAATTATTAATGAGACATATTTTCATACATCTTTTTCTTTTGATTAAAATTTTTGCAATATTGTCACTCGACTTAAATAATTTTTATTTAGAGTACATCATTAACTGAAAATTTTAATATCAATTTCTCACAAAAAAATTATGTTAATAGTAAAAACAAATTTTTATTCTAGTTCTTTGTTTGAAATTATTTATAGTGATTCATTGAAATTTTTCAAAAAATTTTGCTTCATCAATATTTCTAATTAAAAAATGTATAATTGTAAGACTTGAATTCTTTAATTAGCAGAAAAGAATGATCCCATCAAGGATTTTTGTTTTTCTTATAGATATTGATATGACAATGGAAATGATGCCACAGTCAGGGCATGAACTAGGTCCATAAATTTCGTAAAGGTCCGTAAAGTCCGTAATTTCATTGAAAAAGGACGAAAAATTCGTAAATTGTACAATATAATTTGGAGAATTTTAGAGAAATTACAATTGCAGAAATTTAATTATTTTCAAAAGTAATCAAATTCTTCGCAGAAATTCAATTATATTCAAAAACATTTTTAAATTCTCATCAAACTTCTAATTATCTTTATATAAATAATAAATTTCTTCTCCGTAATTCAATTTTTTAAAAATTTTAATAAAATTCTTCACAAAAATTCTAATATTTTCAAAACTTTTAATAATTTTTTTCACAGATATTCAGTTATTGAAAAATGTAATATAATTCTTAACAAGAATTCAATTTTCATTATAAGTAACAAAATTTTTCGCAGAAATTCAATTATCTTCAAAAATAACAAAATTTTTAGCATAAATTAAATTATTTTTAAAAATTTCATAAAATTCTTTGCAGAAATTAAATTATTTTTTAAACTTTCAAATAAAGTTGTTGGAAAGAATTCAATTATCTTTTCAAAAATATCAAATTTCTTGGTAAGAATTCAATTTTTTATAAAGAACAAAATTCATAGTAGGAATTGAATTATTTAAAGAATTTTCATAACATTCATTACAATATTAAAAGCATTATCGCATGCATTTATAGCAATAATTTAATTTTTAAAAGTTTGCCAATTACAATTTTAGCGAAATTTAAATTTTTTATACTTTTAACTAACAATGCTGTAGATATAATTCTGTTTGAAAAAGTTTAATTGAATTTTTTATTTTCTACAATATATATTTAATTGAAGTATTTCTGAATAATCGACACGTATAATAGTATTTTAAAGAAATGGATTTGAAAATTGTCAAAAAGAACTTTTTCGAAAATTATTAAAAATAATTGATTTAGAAAATAATAATTGAATTGAAATGATGAAAATAATTTTGAAGAAGTGGCAGTAACAATATTCTTAAATTATAAATGAATAGGTAATTCATCTTTAATTTATTTATAAAACATGAAGATATCGATTACTCGGAGTCGAAGACTCGGGTGATGGATTTTCTTATGTTTTATAGTTATGAAAAAATTTCATTTATTGTTTTAAATAAAATGTTCTGTTATTTGACTTGAACAGGTTATGGTTTTGTCTGTAATTTTTTATTTTTGGTCCCTTAAGTCCGTAATTTTACATACTTTCACTCGTTCGAGCCCTGCATAGTTTTTTAAAATAAAATCCAATATGTAAACATTTTTGGTGGTAATTTAGTGATAGCATTGTGAATTACTAATTTTATATTCATAATTTAAGAGAAGAATGGAGATTCGCCTTCAGCAATGTTTGAAAAACAAAAAACAAAGGGGAAAAGGTAACAATAAGCAAAAAAACATCAATGGGACTGAGGATTGTAATGATGTCGATGTTTGTGAAGAGGAATTACAGTCACAAATAGCCAAATCAGGTAATGCAAAAGGCAAAACAGCAGCAGTAAAGAAATATCTCAGAATCTCTAGAAAACAACGTCAAATAGACGTGAGAACTTTACCTGCCTCAGAAATGTTACACAAATATCCTGTACTGCAAGAAACTCAATTTGTAAGTATTTTTAAATTTTAATGCGCTATGAATAAAAATCCATAATTTTAGCAAATGTAATCCCCATTTCCAATTTTGTATAGGATCGAAATTTCATTTTGATTACTTCTTTTTTAAATAAAATTGAATTAAAATGGTTTTTATTTATAAAGGTAAATTTTGTTTTTAAAAATTAAACTTTATTTAAAATTTTATATTCAGTACATATAAATATTCAGTATATAATTTAATTTATGTTAATTCAACATTATAAAAATTTAAACTTTAAGGTCCACTTTTACTAACTCCGGTTAAAAGTTAATCAATAATTCATACTTAAAAGTTACTGAATTTTGTGAAATGAACTTTTCCTTTAACTAAATAATTTATTGGTTTTTTTTATTGATAATTGATAAGAAAACAGTAAATGTTATTCTATTCTAAGTAATTTAATTTGATAATTCATTTAATTTGATAATTCATTTATGTGTAGCTTCTATGGGAGTTTGGAGAAATAGTTGAAATGCCAGTCAGAACCATGAGAAAAAATTTACAAACGGCTATACCGAAATTAATTTCTATAATAACAGATGAAAATAATGAAACAAAAATTGAACTTTTTTTTTTGAAAAAAATTGATTCTCTTTTCAAAAATGACAAAAAGCGAGGTCGTGAAAATCGTAAACTTGTGTTAATAATCGAGGTAAATATTTAGAATTTTTTAAAGTGAATTTTAAAAGTTCTAACTTCTCAAACTTTTATGATTATGATTTAATTTAAATCAGATTATATTTTTAAGATTGCTTTCATAATTTCATCACACATTTTAAATATGGAAAAAATTATTTTTCATACAAATTTTGGTAAATAAACTAAAGAATTTATAATTTCATCACATTTTAAATATGGAAAAAATTATTTTTTATAAAAATTTTGGTAAATAAACTAAAGAATTTATGTTTTGTATTTATAAAAATATTCTAAAATCGATTTTTGTTTCAGGATAATAATGATAAGGATGACGAGGTTCCAAAAACGGATAGAGCTCCCTATTTGATCATCCAGGGTGACTGTGATAAAAACGTTAAGTGTTTCGTCGATGCGGAACCACTTTTCATTGAAGCTCCATTGGATGCAATTCTTCTGCTGTTGGCCACTTACTGGGTGTTTGACATCCATTTTGACAAACATTTTAAGAATCAACTGACACTTCTAAGCGTTATAACGTTTGGCGAAGACGCTGAAAAAATTTTAGGGCCTCATGGCATCGAGTCAATTAGTGTCAATAATATAATTACAAAAGCAGGATTATAAAATTTTCAGTTTTACAAAAGTTTAACATTTTGATAGAATGTGAACTTATTCAGAACATTTTGTATAAAGTAATTTTAAGCTATCATAACATAAAATTACTATCAACCGAACACGTCAGATGCATCCATCAAAACTAATAATTAATATACAATATTATATAATTATTGAAATGCGAATTCTGAAATTATTTTGCTTTTATGTAATTATTTTCTTAATTTCAAACCTACTGGCACTAAAAATATAATTCGCTTGTTGAGAAATTGTTTTATTTTGACCTGCTTTAAATGGCGTTTGATGAGAGTCATTTAAAAAAACTGTGTCTTGCTGTACCTGGTCTAACTTGAACTATCTGATTTTTAATAATCCTTTGGTAAAAATAATAATTATTTCTTTAATTTTGTTGTTGTTTATGTTTAAAAATTTATGTAAAATTTTAAAATAAATATAAATAGACAGCCTTATCGTTTTTACTTTTTATTAACCACTTGTGAAATTATAAAGAATTGTAAACTTACTTTTAATCAATTTGAAATAACCACATAAATGAAAAATTGTGTGTTACACTTTATTTAAAAATAAGTTATTGTTATTACAAAGTGAATAATGATTAGAATATACCACTTTATTTATAATACAAGTTTTTTTGTAATTATAATAAATAAAATAAATAATTAAAGTATTTTTTCAAGGATTGTCACCGGTAATTTAAGGAAATGAGAGAAACTTTTATATGAAAATTTGACAGTTTGTTCTTTAGATTATTTTCGAAACATTTAATTTTTATAAAAGTTTTTATTACGTTGTTTTTTCTTAAAAAAATAAAATAAATTAACAATTTAACATAGGCTCTTATGGGAGCTCAGATAAATATTATAAATAAAGTGTGAAGGAAATGAGAAAAATCTGTGACTTTATGTATAGATAGACAATATTAAAAAGTTAAAACTGGAAGAGGTTAGAGAAAGTTTACCCAGATTTAATGAATAAATAATTATTTTTAGTTTTAGTTTTCAGAACAGTAATAATTTTATAAGTATCAAACACAAAAACACATGAAAATAGGGCAACATCACAACAAAACCTAACCTTAAAAAAATACAAATTTGATCTGTACACTTGCAGTCATTCCAACCATATGTCGAGTATGTATTGTCATGATTTTTTAAAAACAATTTCAGAAAATTAATTAAATACATTTTTCAATATATAAGTATTGAAACAAATTTATCATTAATTTTTACATCTTTTTGAATGTTTTCTTCTTTCAATAAAATAAATATATATAAGTTTTTTGTTTACAATTATAAAACTGAAATTTTTTTTGAGGTTGTAAACATGCAAGATTCTACATGGGAGTCCCTTATGGAGCGTTTACACCTTCTGTAAAAATTGTCCAGAAAGGAAAATTTGCATTGGAGTAAGAGAGTCAGATACACAGTCTGTCTCTCTTACTCCAATGAAAAATTTTCCGTTCGGGAAATTTTTACCGAAGGTGTAAATGCTCCCTTATCCCTTACCACGAAATGGACAATCCTTAATATAAAAGTTCACTTTCATCACACCTGAAATGTGAAATATACAGGAAATTCATTTTTATTAAATACTTACTCTTAAAAACGGAATGAACGCACCCTTAAATATTTCACTATACCTAGAGCCAAAAATCACTAGAAATTGTAAAGTTACCTTTAATCGAAATGTCATAACAACGTGAATGGAGGTTAGTGTATTTCAATTCAGTTTTAATACAAGTTTTTTTTACATAATGTGCTCATTTTATATAATTCTCACATTTCTCACAGTTAATATGTAAAATAAAACAATTTTTAATACTTAAGAGTAAATAAAAGTAAATAAATTGATGATTTAAATTTTCAGTTAATGCGAACCGGCCATAACAGTATTATTTTGATACAAATACACGTATCAAAAAATGATACTGTATTGACTATCATTCTTAAAAAAGATAGTTATATTCGTATCAACTTGATACATTATACAGTATCAAAACGTTGCCAAATAAAATGATACTTTCCAGAAAACTGTGCTAATGCAGGACTGAAACAAGGCTGCTTCCACTGTTCCCAAATTTACGCGTCTCTCGCGCTCATTCAATATAATATGGATATATGAAATGTATATAATAATAATAATAATAATAATAATAATAATAATAATAATACTAATAATAATAATAATAATAATAATAATAATAATAATAGTAATAATTATAATAATAATAGTAATAATTATAATTATAATAGTAATGAATATTATTGTTATTATTTTTATTCATATTATATGCGTTTGTTAATTTAATGGCATTAAGTTACTATTATAATAATTATATTATTATCATATAAATAATATATTACTAACAATAAATGTCATTTGAAATAGTAATATTAAAAAAAAAATTTTAGTAAAAAAAGACAATTTTTCTGTTAATCGGTACATTTTTTTCTCGATTTTTCAGCAGACTTTTTAATATTATTTACAAACATATTCACATTTTTTATTCACAACACAACACACAATTTTATTATTAGATATAACGCTTAAAACAAAGAATGAAAAATATTCGCTCGCATGTCGGATCGAACTCACGCACCCCGCCCCTAACGCATACCGGAAGTCCTAAACGCACGCATTTAAACCGCTCGGCCACAGAAGGCTGGAAGGCACCTCGCCTAATCTACTATTTCAATGCCAGCGCCGTATATTCTGTATATACGGCGCGTCACTCAATATTTGTTCAGCATGGGACACCAATGTTCGTCCCGTGCTCGATTAAAGACTCGGTCAATCTTGATACAATATTCACTTTCTTTATTACCGTGTGCACTGAACAATATTAAATATAAATATTTATAAATTATTTAATATTCAAATATTTTTTATGATAATTTTATAAGTTAAATTATATATATTTTTTTTTCTTGTAGGTACAGTGTCAAATTATTATTTTCAAAGATTAAGAGTTTCGTTTATCTGAAAAATTATTAGTGAAAAAAATGTTCATTAGGTAGTGATAAATATTTATGCTTAGTAATTTTACACTAGGATTAACTGTTTAGTAAATATTATCAAAAAACTATTTTTTGGCAAACACGCGCAGCTAAACACAAATAACCTTGAAACTCCAGCATTACCAACTCAACACATACGTTAAACTCTTGAGTTGGCAATGTTAAAGTCTCAAGGTTATTTGTGTTTAATCGCACGCGTTTGACAAAAAATAGTTTTTTGATAATACATATTTACTAAACAGTTAATCCTAGTGTAAAACTACTAGGCATAAATATTTATTACACCCTAATGAACATTTTTTTCACTAAAAATTTTTCAGACAAACGAAACTCTTGGACTTTGAAAACAATAATTTGACACTGAGCAAGAAAAAAATAATAATATATAATTTAACTTTATTTATATGAATCTTATATAATTAATAATAATAATAAATAATATAGTAATAATAATTATTATTATTCTTATTATAATAATAATATATAATTATTATTATTATTAATTAATATAAATATTATATACTAAATAAATATTAATATTTATTTACCAATTGATATCTTAATAATAATAATTTTTAAATAGTATATAAAATTATACCATAAAAAATATTTTAATATTAAATAATTTATAAATATTTATATTTGATATTTTTAAATGCACACGTCAATAAATAAACTGTCAAGATTGATTCAGAATTGAATTAAGATTAGATATTCAAGCTTCACTCACGAAGATTGACCGAGCCTTGAATCGAGCATGGGACGAACATTGGTGTCCAATGCTGAATCAATATTGAGTGACAGTGATATAAAGACTGCTTCAACACTGGGTTACCCACGCTGGGCGTTCAAGACTGAATCAAGCTTCAATCCATCGTCAGCATTGGTCTTTCGCGCCTGGGTCACTTGGAGTATTCGAATCAAAGTAAAGCATACCCAGGCGCGAAAGACCAGTGCTGACGATGGGTTGAAACTTGACTGAGTCTTGAACGCCCAGCGTGGGTAACCCAGAGTTGAAGCAGTCTTTATATCATTGTCACTCAATATTGGTTCAGCATGGGACACCAATGTTCGTCCCATGCTCGATTTAACACTCGGTCAATCTTCGTGAGTGGAGCTTCAACATCCAGTCTTTATTCAAGCTTGAATCAATCTTGATAGTTTATTTATTATACCGTGTGCACTTAACAATATTAGATATAAATATTTATAAATTATTTAATATTAAAATATTATTTCTGATAATTTTTAGTAATTTTTTATACTATTTAAAAATTATTGTTATTAATTATTATTAAATAATATAATAAGTATTATTATTATTGTTATTAAGATATCAATTGGTAAATAAATATTAGGGAAGAGTGGGGTAAAAAAGCCACATTTTTACTTTTGATGCTGTAAAATCTGTATTTAAAATTTTTTTCTCAAATTTCCAATTGTTATTGAAAGTTTAGTTATTAAGCTTGAAAATTCTTGACTGAAATATTTTTTATCTCATGAAAGGACTAAGTTATAAGAGTTTTACGAAAGCACTGCAAGTGGCTTTTTTGCACCACCTGGTGGGGTGAAAAAGCCACCCTACGATTTTAGCAAAACATGTTATCAATTTAGGTATTTTTATAGTTTTCCTTTATTTATATGACAAATAGTCTTATTTGAAAAATATTTTAATAAATATGAAAGAGTTTTTAGCAAGCAAAATTGAAAATTATATTAAGTTTACCTGTTTTCGATTTGCACTGCCAATTTTTCGTACCTTTTTTAGAAATTCTCTTTAATTTTTACCACAGATAACATATTTCGTTGCAACCGTTTATTCATTGTTTATTTTTTTAATGCGCACTTTGAACTACTTTTTCGTCGTGTTTAATACACGAGAAATTTTGTAAAATAAGAAGGTTAGTTTAAATAGAAAACAAGTGAATTTCACAAAATATTCAATGGATTTTTTGCCCTGGCTTTTTTACACCCAAGACCAGTTATTAGAAAAGCAAAAATAAATTGTTAATTCAGTTCAATTTACAAAAATTAACATTGTATACGTTTTCGGTATACTTTTCTCCTTATGTACAAACATTTATTTTTATTATTCGTTCACTTAATCAGATTGTAATATGTTTGCAAAGTTCACCAAATGTTTTCAAAAAAGCAACAAAAAATTAAAATTACAATAAAAACAATATTAATCTAGGTACAACATTCAAACTAGATTCAAAAGTTGCGTATTACCTAATAGTATTTATATTCTAAACAGCTGATAAATCGGCTTAATAGTTTTTAAATAAAACTCAAATGGCTTTTTTACACCATGGCTTTTTTACCCCACTCTACCCTAATATTTATTTAGTGTATAATATTTATATTAATTACATAAGATTCATATCAATAATGTTAAATTATTATATATTATTTTTTTTCTTGCACAGTGTCAAATTATTATTTTCAAAGTTCAAGAGTTTCGTTTATCTGAAAAATTTTCAGTGAAAAAAATGCTCATTAGGTAGTAATAAATATTTATGCCTAGTAGTTTTACACTAGGTTTATTTGTTTACTGAATATTATCAAAAATATATTTTTCGTCAAACGCGCGCGACTAAACACAAACAACCTTGAGACTTTACAGCGCAACGTTGCGATTGTCGTGCTCCCACCATCCCATCTACTCAATGCTTTCCCCTCATGACGTCACAGGCGGGGAGTGTATTGAGTAGATGGGATGGTGGGAGCACGACAATCGCAACGTCACGCTGTAAAGTCTAAAGGTTATTTGTGTTTAGTCGCGCGCGTTTGACGAAAAATATATTTTTGATAATATTCAGTAAACAGTTAATCCTAGTGTAAAACTACTAGGCATAAATATTTACTACTACTTAATGAACATTTTTTTCACTGAAAATTTTACAGATAAACGAAACTCTTGAACTTTGAAAATAATAATTTGACACTGTGCGAGAAAAAAAATAATATATAATTTAACTTATAAAATTATCAGAAAAAATATTTTAATATTAAATAATTTATAAATATTTATATTTAATATTGTACAGTGCACACGGCAATAAAGGAACTGAATATTGTAACAAGATTGACCGAGTCTTGAATCGAGCATGGGACGAACATTGGTGTCCCATGCTGAACCAATATTGAGTGACGACACTGGCATTGATATAGTAGATTAGGCGAGAAGCCTTCCAGCCTTCTGTGGCCGAGCGGTTTAAATGCGTGCGTTGAGAACTTCCGGTATGCGTTAGGGGGACGGGGTGCGTGAGTTTCGATCTCACATGCGAGCGAATATTTTTCATTCTTTGTTATAAGCGTTTATATAAAAAAATAAAATTGTGTGTTGTGTCGTGAATAAAAAATGTGAACATGTTTATAAATAATGTTAAAAGTCTGTTAAAAATCAAGAAAAAAATGTAACGATTAACAGAAAAATTGTCTTTTTTTACTAAAATTATTTTTTTAGTATTACTATTTCAAATGATATTTATTGTTAGTAATATATTCTTATTTATAGGAAAATAATATAATTATTACAAATAATAACTTATTGTCATTAAATGTATATATACACACATACATGAATTAAAATAATAACAATAATATTTATTATTATTATTAATAATTCATATATTCACATTATATTGAATAAACGTGAGAAACGAGTAAATTTGGGAACAGTGGAAGCAGTCTTGTTTCAGTCCTGCGTTAGGCGTCCGCAGCATTGATTGAGCATTGATGTCCAATGCTGAATCAAGGCTCGCGCTGCAGTCTGGAATCGGTGTTACATTAAAGCTTCGATCATTCCTGCTCTCGCTGATTCACTCATGCTCAATCAATGTTGACCAATGCTCGGCCAATCTTTATAAAGCCTGAACTCGGCGTCACTTCGCGCCTGGGTATACAAAATTACACTCTTCAAATCAAGCTGATTAAATATTTTTCCAAACTGACAAATTTTTTTAATAACAATTTTTCAATATGTTTTTTCCAACAGCAAACGCTGTTGAGCAGCCAAACGCCGAGGAACTTCAGGAACAAATAGATGTTGAAGGTGATTTTTTCGAGGAACACGTAGAGGAAATTCTAGACGATGATTTTCTTGAAGAATACGAAGAGGACATTTCAGAAGATGATTTTTTCGAGGAAGATGAAGAGGAATTTCTAGAAGATGATATTGTTGACGAATACGAAGATGAAATGAATACCCTAGAAGATGATTTTCTCGAGGAACACGAAGGTGAAATTCAAGAAAATGAAATAAATATTGAAGAAGATAATTTTTTCGAGGAATACGAAGAGGAAATTCTAGAAGATATAAATATTGCTGCAGTTGATGTTCCCAAGGAACACGAAGAGGGAGTAGTGGTTAATAATCAAGATGATCTGAATATTAACCAAATGCATCAGGTGGAACTTTAAGCTGAAGGTATGAGAACATTAGTTTTCAAAAGTAATAAAATTTTTCGCAGAAATTCATTTATATTCAAAAAATTTTTTACAAGAATTAAATTATTTTTCAATACTGCAAACAAAATGCTTGTAAGAATACAATTTTTGGAAATAATGAATTACTTAATCAATAATAATAATAAAAATAATAATAATAATAATAATAATAATAATAACAATAATCAAAATTATTACTGGAATTAAACAAAAATGAATATTTTTGATATAAATTAGAAAGAAATGTTGAACTTACTGAATTAAAATTTTGTGAATCGACCACAGCATCTTATTTAGTCAAATTTTATTTTTTCGATAGCTATATTTTTTACTACTTTTTCAGTTCAAAAGCTGATTTTTTAAATTGATTATTGAATACGATAAGCTTAAAAATTATAAAAAAAAAACAATTACATAATTTAAAAAAAAATTGCATTCGAAATTATTTGAAATATTTTAATTCCTGTAAAAAATATCTAAACGTGTACTTATAGTTTGTAATTTAATTTATTAATTCTAAACAAAGTTAGTGTTAACTTAAAAAGAGTAATTAAAACTTTGTAATATTAGGAAATTTTTTTAAACTTATATGTCGTCGGGTTAGCGCAATATCATACTTATTCAATAAACAAGGCAAGAACATACTTATTCAGAAAAGAGGCAAGAACATGCTTATTCAAAATATAAAGTAAAAACAATCGAATTCGCAAATTAACCTTTTTAGTCAGACTTTAAATTATCAAGAATATTATAATTTTATTTCAATAATACTTTTCATATTAGAAAAACAAAATATTAAAAAAATTATTCTCAATGGAACTAAATAAAAGTTATTATTCGTAAAACAATTGTACAAAAGTAAAATTTAAAATCTGACTAAAAAGGTTAATTTGCGAATTCGTTTGTTTTTACTTTATATTTTGAATAAGCATGTTCTTGCCTTTTTTCTGAATAAGTATGTTCTTGCTTTGTTTGTCGAATAAGTCTGATATTGCGCTAACCCGACGATGTGACCTCAAGCTTCATTATTTTTTTTAAATGCGCTTTAACCCAGGCGGAAAAGTCGGACGAACGTCGGAGTTTACAGCCGGCTGGGATCCGCGCCCGTACAGACCGCAAGTACCGACGGTCTGTACCGATTCGGATCTGAAAAAGCAACCGGCGCGGTACAGATTATGCTCCGACTGTCGGAACCGTCTTCCTACTATTGTCAGTACTGGCTCGGTACTGGATTTCTTCCGCCGGCGGATCTTATTCTTCTGCGGCGTCGGAAGAATGACGGATATGTTGAGTCTGTACTGGCTCGGTACTGGGGCGGATCCGACTGCGGATCTCGTCATTTATTGTCACATTATAAATTAAATAATTATTACAAGTAATTGCATTATTTTAGAAAATAATTATTAATAAATGAATCTAATCAATATATTAAGTAATCATTTATTGAGACTTTTTTAAAAATTAAATAATTAGAAAAATTCGTTATTAATTAATATTATATATTATTAATTAATAATATCTCAATAATAATTAAATAATTGTTTCTCAATATAATAATATTGAAGGTAATGATATTAATAATTTTAATTAATATCTCAATAATAATAAATTTATGGTTATTGATATATTATTAATTAATATTAATATTGATAATTTATTATTAATTCTCAATAATATTAATGTTAATTAATAATATATAAAATTAATTAATAATATCCTAATAATAATAAATTTATTATTATTGAGATATTAATTAAAATTATTAATATTATTACGTTCAATATTATTATATTGAAAAACAATTATTCAATATATGTATTATATAATAATAAAAATATAACAAGTTTCTTTTTTAACGAAATATTGAAATAGTCCTAAATATACATTCAATAAAGTATTGAAAATATAGCGGTATCATTGACGCGTAGTAATTCTTTAAGTTTTATTTGAGCTAGTGACACTTGAGAGTATTTAAGATTTAAGAGTCCCATGCGAGCGTAGCATAGTGGTTAGCGTGCGAGATTTCGGTGCGTTAATATTCGGTTAGGCGTAGGTTCGTACCCCCAAGCGTTAGGATTTTTCAAATGTGTATGTAATAACCCAGTGGGCACAGGGACGTCTAAAAGACGTCCCTTTTTGTCCGCGGACGATTCGGGGACAATGAGGGCAATGTCTCTGAGTCATCAAAAAGACAACTAAAAGACGTCTAAAAGACGTTCTATGTCTGGTCCAAAAGACGTCCAAAAGACATAAGAAAGGACGTCTAAAGTACGTCTAAAAGACGTCTTTTGGACGTCTAAAAGACGTCTTTTGGACGTCTAAAAGACATAAAAGGGACGTCTTTAAGACGTCTTTTGGACGTCCTTTTTACATTCCTTCAGATCTTAAATAAACATTTCTTTTATAACATTTTCTAAGTTGAAATTCAGTAACATTGTATTAAATTTATTTTAAGTTTAATTTTATTTTTTCTAAAATGTGGAGAAATAATGAAAAAATTCCTACGAAGCTGGGATCGAACTCGGATACCTTGGGCTTGAAACACTGCGCCTTAAGCACCTCAGCCGTTCAAGACAGATATGAACCTCTACAAAGTTAACGATCTCACTTGTCAATGAAATGAATTTCACTTAGAAAAATTCCAATGAATTTCACATTCATAAATTTCTAAGTCCAAGTTGAACTTAGTAAATAATATTTTCTATTTATAAAAATTTTTCTATTTTCAAATGTTGAATGAAAAAGACGTCTTTTAGACACTTTAAAGACATCTAATGGCCAAGACATAGAACATGAATAGGACGTCTTTAAGACGTCTTAAAGACGTCTTTTTGTACAAGTCCAAAAGACGTCCGCAAAAAGACATCCTTAGGACGTCTTTTGAACAAGTGTGCCCACTGGGAAAGAATTGCGTTTAAGTGTATAAAAAAATAAAAAAAATGTGTAAAGTAAACTGTCAATGAATTGTCATCAGTATTTATCTTTTGCAATTAATTATTATTTTTTGTATTGATATTTGTTGAAATTATCATTTGGATCCGATCCGGTTGTCAGTCGGTAGAATGCCAGCGCTCGGCTGGCTATTAAATGAAAAATCCACGGTCGGTAGAGTGCCAGATCCCAGCCGGTTGAATTATACACGGAACGGCTTCTCCCGGCCGGTCAGCGGGCGGTAGAATGCCAGTTCCGAGCCGGTTGCCAGCGCGCTCCTGGCCTAGTCACTATTCGGTAGAATGTCCGTTCACATTCGGTTGGCAGGCGGTTCCGAGCCAGTACAGTTACACCAACGTCAGTACGGGCTAGGATCCGCGCCGGTTGGAAATTTCCGCCTGGGTGTATCGAACGAGAAAGCATTAAAAGCATATGTTTAGTTTGATATTATCTTTATATTTTTTTTTTGAAACTGTAATTTTATTTTGTATAGATAAATAACTTTTAAATATTTCGTCGTGTGTTTGTAATTTGATAAGTCAATAAAAGAAATGTTTACGTTTGAAAAATGTAATAATTATGTGAAAGAAATGATAATATTGAATAGTTACAATTACAAAAATCGATTCGATATTTCTTTTTATTTAAATTATGAAACCCGACAATTACAGGGATCGGATTGTGCGACTTTTTCAACTTTTTTCGACTTTTCCAAGGGAATGTGACTTTTTTCGACTTTTTGTGAAAAAATGCGACTAATCGACTATTTCGAGATTTTTTTTTAGTAAAATGCGACAGAAATTTAAAACAATTTTTTAAATTTAAAGAAAAAAGTTTGAGTCAAAAAAATGTTCTGTTACAAATTTCTTTCAAATTTCTCGAAAACATCAATAATTTCTTTTTTAAATAAATATTTAATTATTATTTTTCCATAGGAATTAAAATTTTTCAAAAAAATTCAAATTCAAACCTTTTTGAAATTAAACAACTTATAAAAAATTATTATAAAACATGAAGAAATCGATCACTCCGAGTCTTCGACTCGGAGCAATCGATGTCTTCATGTTTTATAATAATTAAAGATGACCGAGTGATAAAATCATATTTTATATTATATAAGACTTTATAAAAAAAAATTTTCAATTATTTTTTATGAAAATATATGAATTATTGGGAACGAATTTATAAAACATTAGTAAGTAATTGAATTTTGCAGAAGAATTTTGATATTTACAAAGATAATTGAAATTTTGAGGAGAATTTAAAAAAAAATTGAAAAATAATTTAATTTTTGTCAAAAATTTTCTTACTTTTTGAAGATAATTGAATTTTGGAAAGAATTTTAACAGAACTTTTGAAAATAATTGAATTTCCAGAGAAGAATTTTATTATTAACAAAGATAATTGAAATTTTGAACAGATTTTTTTAAAAATGTTTAATAATTGAATTTTGCAGAAGAATTTTATCAGAACTTTTGAAAATAATTAAATTTTCAAGATGAATTTTATTTATGATGAATATAATTGTATTTCCAGAGAAGAATTTTATTATTCACAAAGACAATTGAAATTTTGAACAAATTTTTTTTTAAAATGTAAAAAATACCTATAATTAAAATTTTGATATGAATTTTATTAAATTTTTTAAAATTTTATTCCGGATTGTTTGATATTAATGTATCTGTTGTCGAGAAATGTTATTTTTTTCTATTTTGATAATTTCGTGTTTTCATTTTGTCGTTTTTTCTAAAATTTTGATGGGACTTTTCGTGACTTTTGTTGTAAATTAATGCGACTAAAGCGATGACTTTTTTCAGTCTTAAAGACTTAATAGTGAAGAAATTCAAAACACTATATTTCAGAAAATTCGTGTGAATTGACATAAAGTTGAAAATTTTAAAAAAAATATTGTCGAGACTCTCGTTGAGAAATTTTTTTGCGGTCTTAAAAAACTACAATTTTTTAAAAATTAATTGTAATTATTGTTCATATGCAAAAAATTTTTTTAATAGTACTTTCTTTTGTCAAAATTTTTATATGAACAAAATA